GTTTATAACCGGGGGGTGCCAGGATCCGTACCTTCAACCCTGGGGATAGAGTGCTGGTGCTAGTCCCCACCGTGGAAAGTAAATTCCTCGCAAAGTGGCAAGGTCCCTTTGAAATTAGGGAGAAAGTGGGGGAAGTAAATTATAAAGTTTACCAGCCAGGAAAAAGGAAACCCGAACAAATCTATCATGTTAATCTCTTAAAACCTTGGAAAGACAGGGAAAGTTTGTTGGCAGTACCAAGCCCCCAAAAGGACGTGGTTCCCGTGGCCCCTCAGGTGCCTATAACGGAAACCTTGTCAGTAGCCCAACAAAATGATGTTAAGGAGTTTGTGAGGAAAAATGGAGATTTCTTCTCCCCCCTACCTGGACTGACGACTGTCATACAGCATGACATAGTTACCCAGCCCGGGGTCCGTGTAAATGTCAAGCCCTATAGAATACCCGAGGCCAGACGGGAAGCGGTGACAAAGGAAATAAAGGACATGTTAGAGTTGGGAGTGATTGAGGAATCTCACAGAGTGGTCAAGTCCCATAGTGTTGGTCCCAAAACCAGATGGAACCATTCGTTTCTGTAATGATTTCAGGAAACTGAACAGTGTGTCTAAGTTTGATGCATACCCGATGCCTCGGGTGGATGAGCTCATTGACAGGTTGGGAACGGCTCGGTACATAACCACCTTAGATCTGACCAAAGGCTACTGGCAGATTCCTTTAACAGAGGCTGCAAAAGAAAAGACGGCATTCTCCACCCCCGAGGGGTCCTTTCAGTATAAGCGGATGCCGTTTGGTTTGCATGGGCTCCTGCATCATTCCAAAGGATGATGGACAAGACGTTGAGACCACATCGCCAATATGCAGCTGCCTATTTGGACGATGTCGTCATCCACAGTCCAGACTGGGAATCTCATTTGTCCCGCTTGCAAGCGGTCGTAGATTCGCTGCGGGAAGCAGGTCTTACCGCCAACCCCAAGAAGTGTGCCATAGGCTTGGAGGAGGCCAAATATCTTGGCTACATCATTGGTCGAGGTCTCATTAGGCCTCAGATCAATAAAATTGAGGCGATTCAAAAGTGGCCCCAACCTGTAAATAAAAAGCAAGTCCGAGCATTTCTTGGAATCACGGGGTACTACAGGCGGTTTATTCCCAATTTTGCCACCATTGCAGCCCCACTGACAGATCTGACAAAAGGTAGGGGTCGGTCATGATCAAGTGGAATCCCGAGGCGGAGACCGCATTTCAAGGCTGAAACAAGCTCTCTGTGCTCAACCTGTGCTTGTGACTCCAGATTTCACAACAGAGTTTGTGGTACAGACTGATGCCTCTGATGTGGGACTAGGTGCTGTCCTGTCCCAAATCAGAGATGGGGAGGAGCACCCTGTGGTCTTCCTAAGTAGAAAGCTCAACAAACATGAGAGAAACTATGCCATTGTGGAGAAGGAATGTTTGGCCATCAAATGGGCCTTGGAGGCCCTGAAATATTACCTGTTAGGAAGACCGTTCAAGTTGGTTACTGATCATGCCCCGCTCAAATGGATGTGTGATAATAAGGAAAAAAACAGTCGAGTGACAAGGTGGTTTCTCGCGCTACAAGTGTTCAAATTCACAGTGGAACACAGAGCGGGGAAACTGCAAAATAATGTAGATGCCCTTTCCCGGGTCCATTGCCTGGTTGGGACAGTTGCTCAGCCGCAGGGGCTTGAGCAGAGGGGGGGGATATGTGACAGTATGAACGGCAAAGTGATGGATGGACGATATGTGTCACCAGGGCTTTTTTTCTCAGAGGAAAGGTGTGGAACTCCCCCCACCCAAATGGCCACGCCCCCATCAAACCCTAGGACCACCCCTTTAGAGAACAGGAATGCAAGTAAAATTTGGGAGGGGCTATATAAAAGTAAAATGTATGGAATTAACACGCCCCCCCCCCCCCCACATTAGTAAGAATAGCGAGAGTAACACTGCCCCCCCCACATTAGCAAGAAAAAGCAGGAGAAAGAGAAAAATTGTATCGCCGCTCCTTACCTGATGCTGACGATCGCGCTATGGTAGTGGATCGACGAGCAGAGGGCGTGATGACGTCAGCGCGCACCGCCGGGTGTACTAAGATACACCTTTCCTATGGGGGTGGCCCGCGCGCCCCGATGTTTACACGCTGGCGGTAGAGGGGGGGGGGTGTGAGGTGCATGTGCATGTCCCGCTCACCGGCTGTGAGCAGCGGCAGTGACAGGTGCCGGGCACGCGCAAGCATGACATAAACAAGCCGCGTCCGGCACCTGTCACTTTCGCTGCTCTGCATAGCTTGTCAGCTCTGCAGAGGCAGTCGGTGAGCGGGGACAAGAAGAAAAAGGTGGCGGAACGCAGTACCGCCGCGTTCCGGCAGAAAGAAAGCCCTGTGTGTCACCTCGCATGAGGTCATATTGTGAGGTGTAAGGTGGAGTCCACTCCGGGTTTTTGGGGCCACAATGGCAGAGGTGGTTCCGGACCAGAGTTTGGGCTCCACTGATGTCCACCAACAGGTGCTATAAAAAGGGCAGGGCTGGAGCAAGGAGTCGCTCGTGGCCTGGGACTCAGAGAGGTATTCTGAGAGAGCTGTGTGTATGGATTATACCTACAAGAAAAGGTTTGCTGTTACTTTGTTTTGGTGACAGGGAGAAGCCCTTCACCTCTGAGAGAGGAATCACCTGCTGTTTAGTTAGTGCCTGGATGGCGAGGGTTTATTTTGATGTTTTGTTTATTTTTGATATTTCTTGCAAACCTTTTTAATAAAACTGACATCCAGTCAGATTTTGACGAAAGCCTGCTGTGCGGTCTACCTTTGTCCCAGGGAAGGAGATCCCCCACCTGAGCTAACCCCCCCCACATATATATATATATATATTTATTTATTTATGTGTACAAGAATGAACTTGACCCTAGGTTTACTCATAAGCGTTGTGTGTTTATTCAGTTTTGTAGTGCAATTCAGTCATTAACTGTGGTCCGGATCAGAGCGGTTCACAATGCATTTTATAATAAATAGTAATTCATTTTTGAGACAATTTCACTACAGTTGCAATTTTGGATTTGGATTTCTCATGGAAAGAGTCTCTCTCTCTCTCTTTCTCTCTTTTTTTTTTTTTTTTCTTTTTTTTTTTTTTTTTTCTCTAGCTCTCATTCTCTCTCTCTCATCTCTTACATATGAACACCTACACGTTTCACATGCGGTTCCTATTGTAGCACCCTCCTAGTCAGCTAAGGGGAGCTAGACTCCAAGTGTTAGCAAGGAGGGCTGAATAGCAGCCTGCCTGTGATAGCTAGCAGAGTTAAATCATGGTCAGAGCTGAGAGACTTTGCAGACCAGCCCTCTGGAATTTCCCCCTGTCCTAGAACTTTGGAGAATGGTCTAGAAGCAGTGGGTGGATCTGAAGAGTGATTGGTCTGTACTTTTAGAGGATTCTGGCCAATCCCCAACAGGAGGCTTGGCAAGGGGCCAGGACAACCTTTAAGAGTAAAGGAGCCTGCTCAGCAGAAGGAGAGTTTGGATAGAAGAGGAATATGTGAAGCTGAGGAGCAGGAGACTAAGAGGGGGCTCATATGGGAGGGGGCTCACCTCCAGGCAGAAGGGACTGGGAAGGCTGAAAGCTTAAGACTTCACTGGCCCCCTGAGAGAGGACCAGGACTGAGAGAGCACCTGTGTGGCAGGGAAGGAGCAGCTTAGCTAGAAGGCCTGGCAGCAGCAGCAACCAACCCAGCAGCAACACAGGAGAAGAACTAAGTGTGTACACCTGCACCCCTGGGCCAGATAGGGAAAGGAGGCACTTTAGTGGGAAGCTGGATTAGCCTGCCACCCCCGACTGTTTCACCATTTATGTGGCGAACACCTGATCCCCTGCTCAGGGATTCCTCCAGACAGCTGGGTAAAGAAGAGGATTTATCTGGGATCTGGGGTGTTAGTACAGGAGATACTGGCTAACTCTAAAGAAGAGACTGATTCCTGTAACTTCTGTACATAGTTCAGGAAGTTGTCCTCAGTTTCTCAGTTCCCTTGGGCATTTCGTACACCCCTTACCCTATCCAACTTGAAATCCCCCCTAATAAACATAAAAAAACAAGCTCAAGGACTGGTTACTGACTCCTGAGTGCAAGTCGGTGTGGAAATGCATGTTGCCTGACTGTGCAGGACTATATGGGGACCCAAAACTTCAGCAATTCCTAAGGGGTAGTGCTACACCATTAAAGTTTATAGATCACAAATTGGGATTGCACAGCTCCACACTTGCACACAACCCTTTTTAAAACCGCACTATGGCTGCAATAAGCATGTGCAAACTCCCTCTAAAGCAGTGTTTCTCAACTCCAGTCCTCATGGACCCCCAACAGGTCATGTTTTCAGGATTTCCCTCAGATGAAACAGCTGTGGTAATTACTAAGGCAGTGAAACTGATCAAATCACCTGTGCAAAATAATGGAAATCCTGAAAACATGACCTGTTGGGGGTCCATGAGGACTGGAGTTGAGAAACACTGCTCTAAAGGAACAAATTTCAGTTGTTTTGTGAATCCACCAGTTAAAAATGCATACGAAAACATGTGTGAACTAGGGTTTAACTGGTGACCTGCTGCTGATTTTACATTGAAAGATAGATTTGTATGTGTTAGTCACATTAATCACACCGTGAACTTTGGGCAAGGAAACTGGGAGCTGAAGAGAACTATTAAAAGAATATATAGTCATACACTTGTGTGGTCATTACTGCCCTTAGGGTGTTTGGTAAAGAAGAAGAGTATTTGGCGTTGAGTGGTTCAGATTAAATTTGTGAAAGTCTAAACATCTGCACCAAAGGGGTATCAGGGAAGAAGGGATGTAGGGTGGCTTGGAAGAGAGGCCAAAACACACTTTACGGAGGTCCATGGATTTGAAGTGGCCCATTGAATAAAACATGTTAAACTACTAAAAAAACTCTGAGAGTTTAATTCTACTTTAACCACTTGAGCTCACAAATCTTTAGGTACAGCAACACTTACCACAATTTTTCAATTTGAAAAGTGGATGATCTGTAGGTAGGGGTTCTGGCACTGTAACATCAAGACCAGCAGCCGCAATCTGTTTAGTTACCAGAGCCTGGTAAAGATCTTCCTGGTTTACCACAGCTCCCCTGTGTGGCAAAGATGCATATTAAAATCCAAAGATACACTTCAGTTCAGACAGCTGATAGAGTTTAGCCATTAATCTGTGAAAAAAATAGGCCTCAGCAATAAAGTAGAACTAAATCAGAGATGGGCACAGAAAAATGCTTTTCTAACTAATCCAAGTAAAAGTTGACCTTTTATGGCATCTTTTCTAGATATTGATTTTTTTTTATTTTTTAATTTTAAAATCTAGTAAAGTTCACTTTAAGTAAAAGCTCTGTTGCCCAACAGCCACAAATCAAATCCAAGCTTGCTTTGAAAATTTAACAATGCAAGTTCAAATGTTACTTGTAAAACGTAACTGTAAACATGACAATTTTTGCATAACACAATTGTCAAATGAGGCTGCACTGCGCCTTATTTTGATTACAACTCATTAAATGACATTTTCTGGGTTGGCATGTAGTTCAGCTTACAAAGCTGATCTAAAACAATCAACCATAGCTGACTTCTTGCTATGGGTACCTGAATTTTGCAGTCAATACTGAATAAGCCAATGTGTAATAACTTTTGGTCCAGTTCCTTATAGTGTCTATGTACAAAATTATACATCTAAATTCTTACCTGCTGGTGTTGATAAACACAGCATTGCTTCTCATGTTGGAGAATAACTGTTTGTTGCAAATGCCATGTGTATCAGGTGTTAGTGCACAGCAGACAAGAAGAACATCAGACTGTTTGGCCAGCTCCAATAAAGGCACTGAAAAACATCATTAAAGGCAACTGAATAGTTAGAAAAGGGTCATGTAGAGAATGTTTCCTAAGCTATGTGGGAAAATATCAAGGGTTGAAAATTCTCAAAATCATAGACATTTTCTAAATTATTAATTTGCAAATGGCGGAGACAAGTGTGAATATTCAACACCCTGATGTCACGGTGTTATGTTTCATTCTATAACACACACTGACATCAACTTCTCTGCTCTACATGGGTTGCAGGGGTAGAAGTGCCTCTTGTCACCCACTCAGCACCACCAAATGTGAGTCTTCAGAAGGTCATTCTCGTGTTTTTTTGTGTGGGAGAACAAACCTGACAACCAAGCATTTTGCAACATATAGACTCTGTTGGGCTTGCACTTACTGATGCCCAACCCTGCTCTTCCTGCTGAAGATGCTATCCAGGACTCACAGGTTTCTACTTCCTTCCATTGATCACAATCCTCTATGAGCTCCACACAGGGACTGGAATGGAAGGAAAGCAATCAAGATTTGCCAGCACAATTCTGAGATGTAGTCGCTAAAGCCCAAGCTACTCTCTGCATTTATGAACCTTGAATCTAGAGAAATCCTGTATCACTTTATCTGCTATAATACCAGCTCAGGAAAGAGGCCTAGAAGACCTAGAAGCTCACTTTCATACCTTATTACAACTCCATGATGATCTCAAAAATAAAAATAGAAGAAGCCTTCTAACACAACAAGTACTGTAGATCTGCTCTTGGCTATGAAGGCTATTTTGCTAAATTCCTAGGCACCTCGGATACTGTGAATCAGACCATGGGATGTTATCTCTTGGGTCCACTTCTTCAGAACAAGAAAAGACATTATGCGAACAGTTTTGATTTTGCCTCAATTACTCTGCTTCCTGACCTCTCCAAGCATACTATTGACCAATAGAGAGCCCTAAAGCCCCTTGTTTTTTGATCTGTAGATTTTTTGAGAAGAGATTTTTATAGAAGACTGGTCACTAACATAAGAGCATGGAATATATGGACACCAAAAAAAAATTAGTATATGTTTATTTATTTATATACAGCATATTCTTTATTGAATTTTGATAAGCACAGTGTATGATAGTTACAGTAAAAAGGGAAGATTCTTTGTTAAATGAGCACTTACTGATTTCTTTATGCAAAGCAGAACATTTTTGTGATTTAATTTATATCCATTATAAGCACTGCACTTTTTTTGATCATAATTTTATATCTGATCATGAGAACAAAGCTGTTTATCTTCCGCTTCAGTGGAAGGCTCTTACGACTCTGCTCAGAAGGGTTTACATACAACAGAGCACACAAGGGCTAATTCTAATACTTTATACAAACTATATACATAAAAAGCACAGTACAAGGAATCCCAATTTTTCGCTACCTTAGCTGCAATTTCTTTGACCAGATCCCACCTCCTACAGCTCTATGATCAGGCATACAGTAACTATAAAGAAAAAGCTAAATGCCAGAAGTTCATTATACTGTGCATTTTCTGGAGCCTACATGCCTGAAGAGTTCAAGTTCCAAGTTAAAACCATCTTGCCCTCCTACTTCCCACTCAACCTTCCCAGCAGTCTGCTCTATAGGAACCCTCTGTCGTCATACTCACTACTTTATGTCTTCTTGATCGGTGATAAATAAGTGTGTGGCAGATCTCCATTGCGCAGAGATCTAGAAAGGCTTAAATACCATTCCTACTGAAACTAATGTTTCAGGTTCCCCATGATACTGGTCATGATAGGAAGTTAAACTACCTGACGATTCTGTATACTTCTCTTTGGGATCGCTGTGCTTCAGTTCTCTGGTATGCACACCTGCTGTTGCCATTAATAGGGTTCCCATTGTCCTTGTTAATGTTTTTACTTATTTTATAATAAAGAGAGTGCTATAATTTAGGCACAAAAGTGCACAAGTTGGTGAGAACACACCCAAAAAACCTAAAACAAGACAACAGTCAGAAATTTCAAAAAGGAGATCTAACTTGTTAAGCACCAAATACATATCCAATAAGCCAGAAGCTGACATGACCCACCAACTTCTAAATAAAACAAGCCTTTTAAGAATATGGAAGAGCCTAGAGAAATGCTTTCAGATCATAAAATATTTAATATGACACCATTACAGAACTACAAATTTCAAAGATGAAAACAATCAAAACACTGACTTATACAGTACATTAATAAGACTTTTTTGACATTTACTTCAAATAAATATCATACTAAGTAGCGCAAAGTTTATATTTGTGTTTCTTCAAACAGAAAATATAATAGAATCATGTTTTACCAAATTCAGCAGAGATCTTTGCTGCTAATTCATGCCTTGGTACTATATCATTGTACAGGATCTTCTTGATACCAAATGGTTTCAGGCGGTTAATAATAGCTTCACCTTTAATAAGACGGACATTGGTTTTAGACTCATATTCTTTTAAAACACACCATATTATTTAGTAGTTGTTACCTAACTTGGAACAAGTAAAATGGATTACTGGTTATAGGTTGTATACTGGTTCAATTCATTACCAGTTTTCCCATTCTGGTTGGTCACTCACCTATCCTTCCCAAACCAAGGACTCCAACAGTACTACCAGTCAATCCACTTCCACACATCCACAAAGGTTTCCATGTACCCCATCCTCCGCTAAAAAAGCAAAACAAAGTCAAAGAACAGGATTAAAATAGAAACAACTAGAAAGTGCAAAGTAAAACATGATCTCTATGGTAGCCAACCAGATTTTCATTATTAACCTAAAAGATTAAATCTGATCAAATGCTATGGTCAATCAGCTGGTATATGCTCCTGCTTCCTCTACTTGAGTTTTTCTAAATTAGCCCTACAGTGTACCTAACAATGTACATGATAACAAAAAAAGAGTGCCAACATAGATTATCTTTCCACAATTCTATGTAAGGCAGCTTCATGGCCTTTTTAATGATAAATACGGTACATTTTTAAAAAACTTTTGTTGTGTGTTTGTGTCTGAGCAAGTTGAAAAAAAAAAGTTATCATATCCAGCTATTGACAATGGTTTTGCAGATTTGCCAGCGCTGGAAGATGCAAAGGTGGCAGAGTTACCTTAAAGAGGGGGTCTTATCTTAACATCAAGAAATCAGAGCCAGCTGCAAAGCTACAATTCATTATTTCATGCTGTCTGGGTTTGGCTTTTCTTTAAGAAACCTTAAAAATGTGTCTACTTTTTTCTTTCAAAGGGAAGGTTCAAACACGCAACAAATCAGAAATCTCTGTTTAATTTGGATGATATGCTTGACATACAACAAACACAAGGCTTGCCAACCCATCTGAGGTAACACTTGCACTGTTCTTGCCCCCAATTCATTTGTGGCTGTCATCCACATGGTCACCAGTAGCAGGTCTGCAGAGAAGAAAATCTCATCTCCAAGTAGAGCTGTCAGTAACATTACTTCCAAACCAGGGGTGGACTGACCATTTGGAAACTCAGGCCCGGGGTCAGTAGGGGGCCCCATGAGATGCCCCTGGTACCTTTTTCATAGGTTTTTTTTGAGTTTGGGCAAGGACACAGGGGCCCCATGATCCCCTATTGCCCGGGGCCCCATAAGTTGTCAGTCCGCCCCTGTTCCAAACTGTCCTGAAAATTTTCTTAGCAGTAATCTTCCTCCCCATTTTCTTCTGCATTGTGTCCTCTCCTACAGATTAATGGGAGAAGCAAGGTAGACACTGAGCGTTGTCTCCTTCCTTGCTGCATTAGTGTTACAGCTTTCTTTAATATAGAAATAATGAAAATTATATTGCTCTTTCTTTAATTATTCCTTGTGAGGATCTGGTTCCTTCTTTGAAGGGCTTTAGTAAGTAATATTTTTTGCTGTTGTGGTGCAAAACATAGTTGTTAGCGTTCTTTTTGGTTGCTGGCAACAATGCAGTTACAATGTGAAGTTTTATTACATGGTTGCATTCAGGGGCAGACTGACCATTTGGAAACTCGGGCACTGACCGAGGGCCCGGGGTCAGTAGGGGGCCCCTTGTGATGCCCCTGGTACCTTTTTCATAGGCTTTTTTGAGTTTGGGTAAGGACACAGGGGCCAGATGATCCCCCTATTGCCCGGGGGCCCCATGAGTTGTCAGTCCGCCCCTGGTTGTATTGCAGGTGTGAAAATAAGACCATTCTGACTTTGCAACACCAGGAGATCATTTTAGGGCCACAGAATCTGAGAACAGACTCTTTTTTTTTCTTCTATTTTTTGCCATGCCATTTTCTCTCTCATTTCAATGACCCTTTCCAACCCTAGATTTTTTAAATAATTTCTGCGCTACTAAATTAATGACATGAGACAAGCAGGGAGCTTGTGTAAATGACTATTGAGATGTTATATGTCAAGGAAGCTTTTCAGGTTTATACATATTAAACAGAAAGATTAGCAGTAGTTGGTTGCGTTGCTGTTGTGTAGAGCTCTGCTGCAAGAAGAACAGTGGAAAAAGAATGGGTCTTGCTCCAAAACTCCACAACACATTTATTGTAGTGCTACCTGTTCCTGTCATCATGGTGCATTATTCCTGACAGTCAACAAGCTAACCCAATGGTTTCAGAGTTAAGTACAGCTCCATATGTTGGTAGTGGTTTTCACCTAACTGCATGGAAAGCATGCTGCTGGCAATAACTAGGACAAGAAGTGATATCAGCTTCTCAAACTCAATGCTAGTCCTGACGTCATGTCCGGTTCCCATGGAACGCACGTTGGCTCTGGAGGGACAATTGGCTTTGCTACCCTGAGGTTCCAACATGTGAGCTGTCTATGTTGGTGCCCTCTATTGGCACCTAGCTATGTGAGTGCAATATTCTTCTGTTTATATTACATGTGAATAAAAAATACTACACTACCAGTATCCTTTCTGGATTTTCTATACCTATTTTTTATTTTGGGTGGATGAGAGCTACTCGGTTGCATCCAAAGTTGGAATGAATATGGTGATCCCACATCCTGGGTTATGACAGCTAAGGCTTGCTGGCTACATTGTTGGCAAGAGGAATCTGGTGAGTGAGTAATTCACCTATATTTGCACATGATGGAACATATTGTCCTAATTAAGATCTGTCATCACTTAACTATGTTGTCAAGAAAGCAGTGACTGGGAACTGTTCACAAGATTTTGTGGATTGTTTGCACTTTACAATGGTCATTTTGCATTTATGTATGTGTTATATATGTTTGTTATTTATTTTGTTTCAAGACATTAGATTATAATTATTTTGGTTTAAAAGGCTAGCGCCTACTTTATATATAATTCTTCACATGGTAAAAAGTGTTTGTTTACACTTTAAAGGGGCAGCTGCCTAACTGGATCTCACGTAGACATTTATGGGGTGTCGCACTCTCAGTTTCTTTTATACTTTTTAAGAAGAACATTACCAGTGAGAGAGATGTTTTCTTTTGGTGCATTAGTAGCATTTGGTAGACTCGATATAAGCAGCATTAGTAAAGAAAGCTAACAGGTAGCACAGTGGCTAAGTTAGCACTTCTGCATGGCACCACTAGGGTCGTTGGTTCAAATCCCAACCATGGCATTTTCCTGCCTGGAGCTTGAATGTTCTCCTAGTTCCTGCGTGGGTTTCCTCCCAAACTCCAAAGACACCTGGTAGGTTAATTGGATCCTGTCTAAATTGGCCCTAGTATGTGTATGTATGAATGTGAGTTAGGAACCTTAGATTGTATGCTTCTTGACAGTTAGGGACTGATGTGAATGTACAATATATGTGTAAAGCTCTGTGTATATTGACAGCACTATACAAGTGCCTGTAAGAAAACAGAACTATAGCTTCAAGTTCTTCTTGTCTATTTTCACCTTTTACATTAATAAATACTGTATGTTATGGATTACTAACCACCACGTCACTGACACCCATTTGATTTCAACTCTCTTCTAAGTATAGCTCCCCATTACATTGCAAGTAGATTTTTTCCAACTTTTGCACTGCTAGTGCCACTTTCATTTATACCAGTAACTGTACAAACAATGCTCATTCTATTCTGCTAAGGTTTTTCCTGCGACTTTATCTTTGGTTACACATTACTACTCATACCTCAACCCTATGCCACCCTGACATCTCCAGAAATACATTAGCAGTTGCACTGGAAGTGAAAATCAGTTGGTGTATATTCAGCTTTACTTGAATATCTCCTGGCTGGAACAGGCTTTCATTGTTTTCCCATTACCTTCTTGCTTCATCCACAGCCTCAATAAGTCTTCGAGATGTTGCCAGCAACAATGCCACTGTGAGCTCAGCCACAGCTTCTGTTAATACATCAGGTGTGAATCCAACTCTGATGCCGCTAATGAAAAAATATTAAAGATTAGTAATGTTTCAATAAAATTAAACAATTTTGTAGAGGATCTACAGTATGTTAAAAGTGCATTTTTTGCCTTGCCAAACGTATTCTATTTAACTTATAAATGTTAACATAAGGGCCTAAATACTAAGTTTCTCTGCTAAAAACCACTGCCTCAGGCTCCCCTTGGTGCTGGTGAGGTGTCCAATTGCCAAAGCACTAGTTACATAGTATATGATGTGGTGGGTCACTTACTTGGCACAGACACTAATTGGCCAGCTATTCCTGAACGGTCACATCTTCAGGCCCTTTTGGCATAGATCACTTGATTAACATACCAAGTGAAACAGAATAAATGAACATCATAATATACTATAGTCTGCTTTAATATGTCATAGTCATTGAAACTTTTGAACATTTTAAAATTATCTGAAGGAAGAATTGTCCCTGTTTGCGTTTTAAAGCAGTAATTAAAAGAAAAAAAAAAAATTTTTTTTTTTCCTTTTTTCCAAAGCCGTTTTTTTTTTTTTTAAATTGGAATAAAATAAAAAAGTAGTGTGCAATATGTTCTTTTAAAATTCTTTTTAAAATGATAAATAATATATCAGTGACATGGTATTCAAACTATATCATGAAGACCTTAATGAAAGATTTCTGAGACTTTATGTCAAGTTCTCTCAGTTGAAGACAAGCAAATGCTGGAATACCAAGAAACACTGTACTTTTTAATGCAGTTCTCAGACAAGAGAAATCTCTATTTCCGCCACTAGGGGGCACTGCAGCAGAAAGGCTCCAGTTTAGTTTGCTTGGGGGCTCCATCTTGTACCTCCTACAATTGGGTGATTGTTGGGGTACACTAGATGATAGTTTCTGCCCACCTCTCAGGCCTTAGTTGACAGGTAACATGTTAAATCTGACAAATTAGTTTATCTTTATACCCTTTAAAACATCCTATTAAAGTTTTCCACCATCACAACATAATGTTTACCTATAGTCCTGTAAGTAAATTGTTTTTTCTTTTCCTCCTCTCAGTATACTGGTGAGATCAATATCTAAAGCAGTGTTTCTCAACTGGGGTTCCACAAGAGGTCCCCTGGGGTTACGCCACAATCTGCCCATCCATCACAAGCAGAAGATGATAGATCACATCCACATATAGCTGACAGTCAAGCTGCAGTGCTGAAAAGGGAAACATCTTGCATCACTGTCCTGTGCCGATCCCAGCTGGCCCTTTCCCTCCTGTCCCAGGTGCCTGTATGTGACATCACTCAGGAGGGACGAGAGAGGAGGGCAGGTGGGGATTAGTGCTCCAGATATGATCCAGAAGATTTCCTGAGCTAGTCTGCATGAGGAAAATCGCTACAGACCCCAGTATTGTACCTTCCAGTACTGTTTCCTCCTGGCCCCCCTGTACTGTGCTCTACTAGTCCCCTATACTGTTCCCTCCTGCCCCCCCTATACTGTTCCCACATGGCACCCCTATACTGTTCCCACCTGGCCCCCCTATACTGTTCCCTCCTGCCCCCCCCTATACTGTTCCCACATGGCACCCCTATACTGTTCCCACCTGGTCCCCCTATACTGTTCCCTCCTGTTCTCTCCTGGCCTTGCAATACTGTTTACCACCGCTCTCCCATACTGTTCTCTTCTGGCCCCCCCTGTACTGTGCTGTGTTCTACTGGCCCCCCTATACTGTTCCCTCCTGGTGCCCCTATACTGTTCCTTACTGGCTCCCCTATACTGTTCTCTCCTGGCCCCCCTATACTGTTCAATACTGCTCCCCCCAATACTGTCCTCTCCTGGCCCCCCTGTACTGTGCTGCACTCTTCTGGCCCCCCTATACGGTTCTCTTCTGGTCTCTCTGTAGTGTTCTCTCCTGGCCCCCCTGTACTGTTCCCTCCTGCCCCCATACAGTTCTCCCCTGGCCACCCTATACTGATCTCTCCTGGCCTCCCTGTACCGATTCCTCCTGGATCCCCTGTGCCGTGCCCTGCTGACCTCTTGTACACTGCTTATCTCAAGTTTGACCCAGAATTGAGCATCTATGCACAAAAAAAGCTAGCACAAATTTAACATTAAGGAGGTAAGTTTTAGTAGTTTTTCTTTTGTTTAATGCTCTTTCTAAGAATAATTGTTGTATCAACAGCTCACTGATCACATCAATGTTCTATGAGCTGTGCATACGAAAATTATTTCAGGGGTTCTCCGAGATCTCAGACTTTTTGCCAGGGGTTCTTCAAAGATAAAAAAACCCTGATCTAGAGTTTGGAAACATTTACACAGTGCAATTTCTGCTATGAGCAAAGCTGCAATTCGTAGTGTAACAAAATGACTTTCAATTTGTAAGCATACTGCACGCTGAATTTTTAAAATTTTTTTTCCAAAAATTAAAATTTTTCTTAAGAAAAATGTTTTTTTCCCCCAGACTACAACATTTATGGAAATTTGACATCTTTATGGATAGCACAGGCTATATAAGACAATTTCCTCCTTTCATTTTCATAAAGGTCCAATGTCCTGTTCTGAGATTCCAGCCATATTAACTGTAGTGCTCTGGTCTGAATTTGATACCTGTAGACTATTTCTTATACTTTATATTAGCCCTAGTTCACACCAGTGCGGCTTTGAAATTGAGCTACATTGTGCAACTTAAAAGCTGACTATTCAGTCCATTCATTATGGCTTGCTGACACTTTGTGCAACTTTATTTAACAGATGTCAATGCAAGTTAAAATGAAGTCGCACAAAAATAGTGCAGGAAGGTTTTTCAAAGTTGCTGCAACTTGAGTCACACCAATTTGAATGGCTGCATAGCAGCTAATGAGGTACAACCTATCATGCAACTTTGGACTCTTACATCACATGGCAAGCTGCACTGGTGTGAACCAGGGCTAAGGGACATAAAGAATGCAATTTTAGCCTGGGTTCACATTTGTGCAGCATACCGCATGTGATTCGCACAGGATCCACATCGCATTCCTGTGCAAATCACATGTGAATTCTGTGCAGTGCAATTTGAGCCATACATTTTTTTATGGCTCAAATCGCACCTTATTCACACCAAAAAGGTGCAGGACCTTTTTTTTGGTCCACACTAGAATCGGATCGCATGGGTATTCTCACCCATGCAATCCGATTCTGCACATCGCACCGCGTTTTGCAGACTGGTTTTTGGGGTATTGTTAACTTGACATTCACACCCACAGCATGAACGGGGTGTGATTGTGATACGGTGCGGAATTCGCACAGAAACCGCTGCGAATTCCGCACCACATCAATGTGAGCCAGGCTTAAACAAAACATTTTGTTTAAATTCACTCAATTCGTCTTTGAAAACATCCATGGATATCACCAAATGGCCTCATTGTAAAAATAAGAAATTTTGGCATTGAATTCAAATAGAAGTAAGGTAAATTATATACTGCACAGCATTAATTCAGGATAAGAAGTAGTAACATGCTTGTACAACGTAAAAATGTGTTAAACTGTTACATGGTGTTGATATCTTACCGTTTTTTTAAGTTCATCCAGTGACAAATGGTCATACCCAACAGACATTGTGCTGACTACCTTAAGGCTGGGACCTGTGTAGACATTACAACAAATATTATTTTTGCTATACTGTAGGGAATTCATAAAATTGGAATTCCCCTCTGCCAGTTTTCCATAGGAATCAATCGCATTGGTGTTGATTTACTAAAACTGGAGAGTGCAAAATCTCGTGCAGCTCTGCCCAGAAACCAATCAGCTTCCAGGTTTTATTGTCAAAATTGAATTGAACAATTTAGAAGCTAATTGGGCTACCGTGCACAGCTGCACCAGATTATGCACTCTCCGGTTTTAGTAAATCACCCCCATTGTCTTTTTGTTGTGTAGAAGAAGATGATTGGTTGCATTGAGATCTGTTCTTTCGACACCTTAACAAATAACATGCAGTAAATAGGGGAAATAGTGCTGGCCAATACATTTAACACTACACACAGGGGCGGACTGACTATTTGGAAACTCAGGGCGCTGCCCGAGGGCCCGGGGTCAGTAGGGGACCCCATGAGATGCCCCTGGTACCTTTTTTCATAGGGTTTTTTGAGTTTGGACAAGGACACAGGGGCCCCATGATCCCCTATTGCCCGGGGGCCCCATGAGTTGTCAGTCCGCCCCTGCTACACTATATAGTAAAGCTGGGCATACCTGGGTGATTTATGCCCAGCGATTAATTGCTAGCGACTACTTGTACTAGTGATTGATCAAACAAATTTGGAGTGTTGTCGATCATTAGCAATTGATTACTATCACGTGATATAGTCCATTGTTCCAGATGTATAGCGATCACTCACAAGCAATCACAGGCAGTTTTAATAGCATGACTTACCTACCTATCTCAAAATTGCCCCTCAGAATTGATCAAATCTGGGTGGGCTGGGCTAGTGCACATGAGCTAATGGTGTAGAGTTGCTTGTCTGATTATGTTCTGGATCTGTTTATTTCCCAGTGTCATCGACACTGTCTTCACTTATATATCTCTCAAGATGCCCACACCTTTCCTAGATTAGGTAGCAGCAGCGTCTCTGGTGGACTGCAGCAAGTAGCAGAAGATACCAGTGCTGTGTGAAGTATGCAGTGGTATCTCTTACTGTTTCTCTCCTCACACTGGAACCTCTCCTTAAGGCTCCTCCTCTGTCCCTGAGATGGCCTTAAAAGGTCACTGAGGGTTGCAGTATCCAATTAGACAGCTGCTCCCCAGGTGACACCTATGGAGGCTGTAGGGGGACATCATCTCCACTAAGTCTCCACCCCCTAAGTCTCCACTCCATCCCCAAGGCGCCAAGGAACCACCTGGTGGGTGGAGTAGAAATTACACCCACCAACAACGGAATTGCTAACAGTTTCTACTATACAGTTAACCACTTTAAGTCTGGATACTTTCACCCCCTTCCTGTCCAGGCCAATTTTCAGCTTCAGTGCTATCACACTTTGAATGACATTGCGCGGTCATACAACAATGTACCCATATGAATTTTTTTAGCATTTTTTTTTGAGACAGATAAAACTTTATTTTGGTGGTATTTATTCACCACTGGGATTTTTATTTGTTTGCTATATAAATGAAAAAATGCAAACATTTTGAAAAAAAAAGTGTTTTTTTAAAAAAATTTAGCAAATAAATAATCTTTCTTCATAAATCTTGGCCAAAATGTATTCAGCTGTCTTTTTAGTAAAAACAAAATAACCCAAATTAGTTTATAACCAAAAACTATAATTTAAAAAAAAAAAAAAAAAATTTAAATTTGTATTTTTTTTTTATATTATTATTTGTTTTTTAACATACTGTCACCCTAGGAATACAGTGTCACTGTACTACTTGTGGGGGGGTGATGAAGATTTTTTTTTTTTACACTGATTGCTTTTACACCCATAAAGGCTGTAAAAGCAATCATTTCTCCTTCTCTCTAGCTGCATTCTTGCAGCCATTGAGAAATACTGTGAGAGCTGTGATTGGCTGTTGTGAATAGCCTTTTACCATGTGACCTCTGTGATCATTCACAGATTTCACAAGTAGTAAGCAATGATGTCAGAAGTGACATCTTGCTTACTACTCTTCGCGTGATCACTGATTGACCAATTCGTGAGCACATGATTGGGACCTCACACAGAGGTCCCGTACAGCGATTGGTGTTCCGCTGTGTTCGGAGGTCACACAGTGGGCACCGGAATTCGGTGCCGCGCGCTCCCAGGGAGCGCGCACAGGCCGTAAATGCGGAGGCCTTTTATAAACGGCCTCCCGCTCCTGCACTGCTGCCCATCCTACCCATGTACATAAACGTGGTTAAATTATGACATTGGCAAGGAGATGGATTGTTAAATCACACTACTGAAAATCTCCTGTATGGCAACTCACATTAAAAGTAATATGGAACAAACAAAAAAATCAATCTCATGATATTTTAGTAGCAAAATGAAGCTACTAAAAATCACCCATGTAGCCCTAGAGTAAACAGTATTAAAATGTAGGAGTCAAAGTGGTAAAAAACTCCCTTAAAAATCCCACCTGCAGCATCCAGCACTTCCTTGTCAATCTTCTCTGTTAAAAGGCAGTATAGGCCCTGAATTCCAGCAACCTTCTTAAGAAGTTCAGAACGGGAAACAGGATCATCAGAATCCCACTGTTCAATTTCACAACTGAAAAGTTAAATCATAAGGGTAGTCAGTTGATATTCCCAGTATGAGCACACTTGTATTTTTATACCCATAGCACTTCATGCACTTACTGTTGAAATCTAGTTTTTTTTATAAAAATAGGATACACATGAATCATTAATTTTCAGGTATAGATTAAAGTTTAATTAATTAAACATACATTGCTAATCTAAGATACAGACCCTTAGAAAACATGTATTTTACTAGTTTTTAATAGGTTTATTGTATTACTGATATATTGCCCTGCCCTGTTATTGGCTCTGCCGTACTCAGTGGAGCAGCAATCTATTTTCCAGGTCTGGCCAGGTTTTACTAAGCTTGGTGGTTGGTTGCTCTGCCTTGGAAGACGTTTCCAGAAATAGAGTAGGAATGTCAGTTATTGAGTTATAAATATTTATCTGACCTCAGCCAATCCCTGGGAGGGGGCGCCCAGAAGGTGGCTGGGGGAAAGATAAATGTCTAGGAGGCCTGTTCAGCAGTATCAATCTTCTGGGGCTGCTGCCTCTAGGAAGCAGCTGTAGTATTGAAGAGCTATTGCTAGGCCTCAGCATGTGCTTGACTGAGGACCTGAAGGAACTTGGATTAAAAGATATTTGGCATGGAGGGCATCACTTGTGGAAGTTGAGCTGAAGAAGGACATCCTCTATCACTGAAGAGTGTTGCATGGAAGATGAGTGGACGACAGCTGTCCTTGGACATTATGAGTAGGATCTTGGCCTAGGACTCCAGGTATACATGTACTTTGGGAATTAATGCTAGAGGTTGCTGGACTGGGACTGCTCACAGAGTCTCAGATTAGCTGGCATCCCCTCTACCTACAGCAAAGGCTGCTGCTAAAGGATCTGTGCTTTGGAATTTGTCCTCCTGTGCCTGTTTTGTGGTTTGGAGTATCCTGCACCCTCATCCCATCTCATGTCTAAGCACTGCAATAAAACTACAAAAAGACATCGTAGACTGAGCCTGTGTTTGTTGGTGTGTGGGGAACTGTCTGGGCCTGAAGGCCAGAGACCTGGGTCATTTCAAGCAGCCTCTTCGGGTGTAAATGCGACACTGGAAATCATTATTAATGACCAGGCCACTTTTTTTTTTGCTATTCGGCACTGCACTATTTTAACTGGTAATTAAACAGCACTGGACCCAAATTAAATTTATATCATTTTTTCACACAAACAGAGCTTTCTTTTAGTGGTGTCTGATCACCACTGTGTTTTTTATTTTTTATTATATAAATGAAAAAAGGCAGAGAATTTGGGAAAAAAACATTATTTTCTCTTTTGTTATAAAACATAACTGATAAAAAAAATCAAAAACTCTAATTTCTCCATAAATTTTACACCAAAAATGTATTCTGCTACATGTGTTTGGTAAAAAAAATCCCAATAAGTGTATATTAATTGGTTTGTGTGAAAGGTATAGGGTCTACAAACTATGGTATATATATTTGAAAATCGATCAGTCCTGATGTTCTGACGGCCTATCTCAATTCTTGAGTCCCCTTAAATGTCAAGACAGTACAAATACCCCCAAATGACCCTTTTTTGGAGGTATTTTAATTTTTGTCTTTTTTTTTTAACATACTGTCACCCGTGTAGTACAGTCATCATATGACTGGTGTGGTGGTGATCAGGGACACTGACTGGTGACAGTATGTTAAAAATAAAACGAAAAAACATTTAAAATAATTTTTTTAACTTAAAAAAAAATGTTTCTATGGGGGGTGATCAGGGATTTTTTTTATACTTTGATTGCTATTACAATAATAATCATTGTAACAGCATTGCTTTAAACTGTCATTCATAACAGCTGTGATTACTAGTGATCAGTGATTGCTACAGCTAATCACATGATACAGGGTGCTGTGATTGTCTCAGGTACCATGTGATAGCTGTGGGCCAATCACAGCTCACTGGTATAGGAAGCAGAGCTGTTATGAATAAGATTCTTTCATAACAGCTTTGTTGAGATTGTGATCATGTGATCGTATAGCAATCACGTGATCCCCAGGCAGCTCAAAGCAGCCCAGTACCAGGAGCCGCAATCCACTGGACACAGCAGTTGCGGGCGGGGGGGTTAGCATGCTCCCAAAGCAGAGCAGGCATGTATGTGCATGTACATGATTGTGCCTGCACATCCCGCCCAGTAAAATTACTGTGGGCGGCCAGCAAGTGGTTAAAGAAATCCTGTCTAAATGACTTTTGAACATTTTTAATCTCTTCACATTTGGAAGAACAGTTAGCATACCCTCCAGTTTCCATTAGCCTGGAAAAGTGTGTTTCTGTGCCCAAAACAATAATTGCAAATACAGTATTTGCCAGCACACCACAGATCTTCATTTAAGTCCAAACTGTTCTTTATTGGAGAATGATCACATCATCAACAGCAAAATGGAGTTCAATGCTTCAAAGCAACACAAAATCCCTTCATCTGGCATGTGATGTGCCCAAAACAACACCCCAACTACATAAAGCTGACTCACATCACAGTTAACATACAGTAACATTGGTAATCTACTATGTTGTCATGAAACCAGATTTTTTTTTTTTGGGGGGGGGGGGGGTCCTGATTCAGACATGTTCGGTTTTGGCATGTTAAGAAAGAAAAAGGGACCACACGTTGGTCCTAGCTTTAAAATTCTTCCACATGTTGTGCAACATAAACCTTATAAAATTTAAAAAAATATATTAATCTGTGAGAAAATACTGTTTATTGGGGTGTTCCAAGCCAGATGGCTTGGAACACCCCAATAAACAGTATTTTCTCACAGATTAATATTTTTTAAATTTTATAGGGTTTATGTTGCACAACTTGTTTAGGGCCCATTCACACTTCTCAGTTGCGATACATTGCAGTACAGATTCCAGTAATTGCAGATAAATGATATTGCAAGAAACTAAGCACTTTACCACTCATGCAATAAATGATATGCTTTAATACAATTTATTAGAAGATCAGTCATTCCACTGCTTTAGATTGGGACAATTTTAATTGTATCTCCTCGTTAGAAACCACCATTTTATGTCTTTGTTATTCCATCATTTCCATTGCCATTTATGTGGTCATCGTGGTCAGCACTATCAAACTGATCACTGTGTTATCAGTGTAGAAAAAGTGGCATTGTAAAAACATGAGATTATACTAAATTAAAACAAATACCTATGCTAGCTATTTCAAAAAGCTATTTCGTAAGCAAGGCCAAGCACCTCAGGCAAAAAAAACTAATGGTCAATAATTAACCATACAGTTCTCCAAAATAATACGGTTCAGATAAACCCTTGTCCTCAGCTTTGCTGCAGTCATGAAACTGCAGTTGACAGTGACACACAAATTGCCAGAAAACAGCTATGTAAGTAAAATTGAATCCAGCAAAGCAGAGTCTGAAAATGAGTCTATCTGTTCCAACATTGTTGTTTGTTGGCTACATTACTGATTTAACTTTTCCATTTGTAATAAAATATTATATAAAGTCTTTTCTCCTACTTTACAAAACTCTATAAAGCACAGTTTTAAATTGAGTGAGTTAAAGTGGAACTTTAGGTAATAAATAAAAATGGGTGAACAGGCTGGATTTGAATGCAGAAAGGACATGGTTTGTCTTTTCTGCATTAAAATGACCAACCTGCCTGTCTGCACCTGTACAGTGAGCTGCGCACACACAGCTCTCTGTAGAAATTCTGCAATGCTGAAACAGACAAAAGTCCCGCTCATGTGCGGGAGCAGGGGCGGACTGACCATTTGGAAACTCGGGCACTGGCCGAGGGCCAGTAGGGGGCCCCATGAGATGCCCCTGGTACCTTTTTTTATAGGCTTTTTTGAGTTTGGCCAAGAACAAAGGGGCCCCATGATCCCCTATTGCTCGGGGGCCCCATGAGTTGTCAGTCCGCCCCTGTGTGGGAGTGACATCATCCTCACAAGGCTAATGTAAGCAGTGCCTGGAAGCCAGCCACTCGAAGATGTCAGTGGCCAGCGTGGAGCTACAGGGAGCATCGCTGGAGCCAAGGTAAAAAAAGTTCAGCTTTAAGGCCTGGTTCACACTACATGTGTTTCAGTTGCATTTTTTCTGCATCCAAAATGCACAGAAAGTAGGTTATATGGTTGTCAATGTCATAGTTCACATTAGTGCTTGTAGTTCCAGTGCGTTCCAGATGCAGAAAAAAAAAGTAGAACAGGCTGCATTCTTTCTGCACAGAACTGTACTGGAAGGTGGTAAAACGCATCAAAAACGCACCAAGAACACACATGTCCCTATTTAAATTGAAGAAAAAGAAAGAGGAAAAAATTGGAAATGCATAAAAAATGGAAAGCATCAAAAACACACCAAAAACGTGTCAAAAAGTGCATGCAAAAACGCATCTGGACTGCGTTTCTATAGTGTGAACCGGCCCTAAAGGCTAGTTCACACTAGATGCAGTTCAGTGTTCACACTAGATGCAGTTCAGTGCACTTTTTTTCTGCACCAAGAATGCATGCACAGTGTTTTCCATGTATTTCAATGGCCCTGGTTCACACTAGTGAACATGCCACATTTTATCTGCACAGAACCTTACTGGAACATGGCAAACTGCATCAAAAACTGCACCAGGACTGTGTGTGGTGTGAACTGTAAGCAAATACGTATCCGGAGTGCATTTTTGTAGTGTGAACTGGCCTTAATGTTAGGTATAAATTCCACTTGCCTCCGTGACTGCATTCAAGCTTGAGTTTTATAAAAGATCAACTTCCCTGAAGAGCTTCTGGACCACTGTACATAATTAAACCAGAACTCCACGTCAATTTTTTATTTTCCCATGTATTGGGGCTGTGCCCACTCTGCATGGGAAAACTGCTCATTTCAGGGATTCAGGAAGATCTATACTTACCCTGTCCTCCAATCCTCTGGAAAACCATGCTCCCCCACATCCACAGGTGGACTGTTCCTGCCGTCTTCATGCCCGGAGCCGGTCTATGGGCGTGATGACGTCAGGAACAGTCCATTCACAAGATCGCTAGTGTGCAGCGGGGCAGAAGCAGCAGGGACTGGTCTTGCACTCTGAGGATAAGCGGATTCGGTAAGTATATCTTCACTTTTATCACCCTTAGTCAAAAACGAGCAGTTAGCCTATGCAGTGTGAGCACAGCCCCACTGCATGGTAAAAAAAACCTTTTTTCACAGATTTCTGCTTTAAGTATTCTGTCCCACTTTCATGCTTTTATGTAATTTATCTGTGTTGTATTGAACTGCAATAGTTTTTTTTCTGTAGTATGTTGACATCTAGTGGCAGTCTTGGGCCACTGCAATTTGTTTATTACTGAGTTTTTGGTTTCTCCCTATGTCCATTCCTCCAGTTTAGTGCTTGTTAGTTATGTCCTAGCTTGACCCCCTTTCTATTTTTTTTATGTTCCTTCAGTCAGTGTTGGTCCTTCACAGAGACAGGGCTTAGGAAAATCATTGTCTTTTTACACTTCAAATCACTATAAAAACAACATCTGTACTGCAGCTGCCTGAAGCAAAATTGTGTTGGATTCAACTGCTGTGTTTTTTGAGTCGTTAGGCTGCCTGTAGATGGTGCCAAGTCAGCAGGTGACTATACTGTCTGGACAAACTGGGTTACATAATTGCATAGTTACATAGTTAGTCTGGCTGAAAAAAGACAAAAGTCCATCAAGTTCAACCATTATAACAAAAAAAAAAAGTTATAATCCTATACCCACAGTTGATCCAGGGGAAGGCAAAACAAAACCCAGCAAAGCATGATCCAATTTTCTCCTGCATGGGAAAAAAATTACTTCCTGATCCCCCGAGAGGCAATTGGATATTCCCTGGATCAACTTTACCTATAAATTATTACTAACACTATACAGTATTTATAAAGCACCAACAGTTCGCTCAGCGCTGTACATTACAATGGGGGACAATACATGAGACAGTACAATAACAATACAGTGCGATACACGAGGGGTACGAGGGCCCTGCTCCTTGGAGCTTACAATCTAGGAGGGAGGGGATAGTGGTACGGGAGGAAAAGCTGTGGGGGATGGAGTGGTAGGAAGAGTGGAGGAGATCAGCAGTTAGCAGAGGGTGAGGTAGGCTTCCCTGAAGAGGTGGGTTTTTAGGGTGCTCCTAAAGGAGAGGAGAGTGGGTGATAGTCTGATGGATTGGGGTAGGGAGTTCCAGAGGATGGGTGATGCCCTGGAGAAGTCCTGGAGGCGGGCATGGGAGGAAGAGATCAGGGAACTAGAGAGAAGGAGGTCTTGTGAAGAGCGGAGAGTGCGTTTTGGGTGGTATTAGGATATTAGGTCGGTGATGTAGTTTGGGACAGAATTATGGGCAGCTTTGTACGGCAGTGTTAGCAGTTTGAATATGATCCGTTGGGGAATCGGAAGCCAGTGGAGGGATTGGCAGAGTTAGTATCCAGTTATATTCTATGTATCCGAGAAAGAATCCAGGCCTTTTTTGAAGCAATCCACTGAGCTGGCCAGAACCAACTCTTGAGGGAGTCTATTCCACATTTTCACATCTTTTACTGTAAAGAAACCTTTCCGTGTTTGGAGATTAAATCTCTTTTCCTCCAGAAGTAAAGCCTGCCCCTTGTCCTCTGTGATGACCTCAGGGTGAATAACTCTAGACCGAGTTCACCATATGACCCACTGATGTATTTATACATATTGATCATATCCCCCTTAATCTCCTCTTCTCAAGAGAGAATAAATTCAGTTCCTCTAATCTTTCCTCATAGCTGAGCTCCTCCATGCCTCTTATCAGTTTGGTTGCCCTTCTCTGTACTTTCTCCAGTTCCCCAATGTTCTTTTTGTGAATTGGTGCCCAAAACTGAACTGCATATTCCAGATGAGGTCTTACTAATGATTTGTTCAGGGATAATATGATATCTCTCTCTCTGGAGTCTATACCTCTTTTAATACAAGAGAGGATTTTGCTCGCTTTAGAAACCACAGCTTGGCATTGCATTCCATTATTAAGCTTGTGATCTACCAGAACTCCCAGATCCTTCTCCACCATTGATTCCCCTAATTGTACTAAGTCTAAGGAGTCTAAGGAGGTATGTTAATGCATAAAGCAGCATTTAAAACAGAACATTTGGGAGTCCTTATACTGTATGTGTTAATAAACCTCAGTCAGCATGCTACAGCATGGCCCTTGGGAATTTTCAAAATGTCCAAACATGAGGCCATTGCTGACTTCTCTTTCTAAAAACAATAGTTATGTGGCAGCCATGCTAACCTTGTTATTAGAGAAGCACTGAACTGTGGAACCTATACTCAAAAAGGCAAGCATAGGGTAATTGACTAGATCCCAAAATTGCTGTGTGCTCCCTGCAGCTGATCTTTTTGCCACAACTGACTGACAATGCCTTGATCTGCACTATTGCTCTGTGTGGCGGCAGCCATCTTGATAAAGGAGCATGGCTTTGCCCCCCCCCAAATCTGACATCACCAAATCTTGCTTCAAATCTTGTAAGACTGTCAGCCCTGGTTCACACTGCAGCAGTGCAGGTAATCCTATGTGATTCATACAGGAACTGCACCGCATTCCTGTGCAAATCACGTGTGATTTGTGTTCGGTGCGATTGGCGCATACATTTTGTATGGCTCTATTCGCACCGCACCCACACCAAAAACGGGCAGGACCCTTTTTTGGTCCACACTAGAATCGGATTGCATGGGTATTCACACCTATGTGATCCGATTCTGCACATTGCACCGCGTTTTGCGGAACGATGTGGGGGTGTTGTCAACTTAACATACACACCCTCATCGGTCCATGTGAACGAGATGCGATTGTGATGCATTGCGGAATTCGCACTGAAAATGCTGCAAATTCCGCACCGCATCAGTGTGAAGGAAGGCTCAGTCACAGACAGAAGTACATCTCACAATGCAGATATTTAGCTACGGCTGTAGGCACAGGAGTTCCTAAGCACACTCACATGCTAGGGAGTTAACTATTGTGTACCCCATACCAACCTCTCCAGTGCTAAAACACATTTCAGCCTGATTTTTGTTTTACCTTGTTCTTGTAGTGAGATACAGCTTGTATTACTTTCTGAGACTACCAGGCTTGGAAATTCTTCCAGAGGAAGCTGTTGGGGGCTTAGTTCCTATTGATGTAGGAACAACCAGAAAATTACATCTCCCAAAAGCATTAAATGTAATGAAGGTTCTTGGAAGTCAAGGCAGCAGAATTATTTTGCTGTAATAGAAATCAATGAATGCAAATAGAGACAGAGAGTGGTAGGGATATATGGAGTTCTGTAGCTCCAGTTGTACCTCCAAACCTGTTCTGGATACATATCCAGAACAGGTTGGAGGTACAACTGGAGCTACAGAACTCCATATATCCCTACCACTCTCTGTCTCTATTTTGGGTCTCAGACTGCAGTGCTGGTACCATTAGCGTTGATTTACTAAAGGCAAATAGACTGTGCAATTTGCAAGTGCAGTTGCTCTCCGCAAGAACATTTTCTCCACAGCTTAGTAAATGCGGGGAAACTCTGCTCAATTCCATCATTCAATATGCAAGCAAATTTTTCTTTGCATGTGATTGGATATTCATTGCAAAGTGAATGTTCACCTCATTTACTAAGCTCTGGATCAATTGCCCTTGCAGATTGCACAGTCTATTTGCCTTTAAAGTGTTGCTAAATCCAGGACCCTGCATTCACTATATCTGGTCTCCTACAGTACACAGAACATGGAAATGCAATTATTTTAGTAAATATAAACTGCTAAATACCTTTTCTCATCAGCAGTTAGAGCAGTCTTGTGACTTCAGCAGAGCACTGGTTAAAGCTTGTAGGAGGAGCTTTATTTCTGCTCTAGAAGGATGCCTCTGTCTGGACAGTGCTGATTGGCCCTGTGCTGATCACATGCACTCTTCCAAGAAAAAAAAAAAAAACCTCTCTAGCAATACACACCAAACTGAGCATGTGCATGTGACTATGGATTCAGTCTGTCTTATCAGGTGGACATTTGAACAAGAGGAGGGGCAGAGAAAACAGGACCAATCAGCCTTTTTACACAATGCAGAGGATTAACCACTTAGGTTTCACAGTGAGTATACAAAGCATGCTTTACTGCATATACAGACTGATTTTACTGTTGTAGGTTTAGCAACACTTCAGATCAGTCCCATTGGCTCCCTTTCCCCCTTGGCCATTCACAGAATATTCTATGAATAGCCAAGGGAGAAAGGGGGGGGGGTGAAAAGAGAAATACTTTCTGCAATCTACAAACATTTTATATCAGCTCCCATGTCTTTAGCAGGCTGAAAGTACAGCTGTACTATCCAACATGAAGTGACTGTTTTTAAAGTATAATCAGGGGTGGACTGACAACTCATGGGGCCCCCCGGGCAATAGGGGATCATGGGGCCCCTGTGTCCTTGCACAAACTCAAAAAAGCCTATGAAAAAGGTACCAGGGGCTTCTAATGGGGCCCCCTACTGACCCGAGCCCTCGGGCAGTGCCCGAGTTTCCAAATGGTCAGTCCGCCCCTGAGTATAATGCAATGATTCTGGCCATGTGTTACGCATGAGCAAAGATAACATTTATTCGCACATCAGAACTTAACCAAAACCTCTGTGCCTGGAGCTAGCCTTTAAGCACAAACTAACAAGTAATTTAATATTTTAAATGATATATGCTCACTCACCTTCCAGATTCTCGGAGAATTTTGATTCCATCTGGGGGGATTCTTCTAGTTACATAAATCTTTGGTAATTGTTTACCTGCAGCCTTCATAGCTTGAGATCTGCAGCAGATGTGAGGACCTCCAACTAGCGTTCTGAACAGAACTCTCAAATGACAAGAAGTCCGCATGCTAAGGTGACATATACCACAATTTCTGGAGGACTTTGGTTAGAACTTGTGCCAGATGAGCAAGTCTGGAATTTTGTGCAAACAGTAACAGTGGGAGGACATTAAAACTTATAGCCAATAGATAAGCTACATGTCCTACTTGCACCTATGACCTCTTTTTTGTACTGGTAGATTATTAATAACTTGTCGTACACAAGTCAATAGTGTTAGCTTACTAGTCTGCTCAACTGGTCCCAAAAACACCCAGCTTTATAAAAATGTTTTGCAAAGAGGAATAGGGAAACAACAGTGTACAAATATTCAAAGCTGATAGAGCGTACTCACTGTGATTCAGTGTCCCATGGCAATAAAATATAAAAAACCTCCGAGGGGGTAAACATTTTTAATAAGAAGGTATATATACAGATGATCAAATAAAACAAGAAAAGGTGCAGCGCATGTGATAAAACTGATAAGTGTCTGATAAATACAACCAGAAATCAATAAAAAAACACATATAAGTCCCATTGATTAGCTCTTATGGCGTGAAGGTGCTATTCAAAATGAAATCCCAGCAGGCTGTGCGTGAATAATCTGGGAATCAGAAGTATACCATAAGGTGAGAAATGGTGACCATCTGGTGGTGTGCGACAGATTACTGGGATTGCAAACTCACCAGAAGCGCAATCTTAGTGCGCGTTGGTTATAAACATCAGCCTGGAGATCTCCCCTCAATGGAACCTGGTCTGGTCTCAAAATCTCCCCCTCTGATGGTATAGGCGTTTAAGTGATGTCAGTCAGATGTCCCTCTTATGGGTTGCATAATGATGTCTGGTCATAGGGAATACCAATCCTTCCTCCGGGCTAAGCATCACCCCTTTTGAAAGTGTATGTTTATACAAAACGCGCCAAGAAGGAGCCTCGCTACGCAGTGACGTCACGCCGCCGGATCACGGAGGTCCAGCGGCCATCTTTACATGCTGACTGGTTAGTAACATTGGCAGCACAGGCTACTTTTTACCTGATTATCTACAGAGCTTTTTAGCAACCTTGATCACTTTTAACCATTTGCGGATTTTATTTGGATGATTTACATGTGTGTACACCATTTTTTACCCTTGATTAATTTCTCAATAAATGACAAGTTTTTACTACACTATGGGATCCCCTATTTTTTGCTCTACCATGAGCACTTAAACCCTCAGGACCCAGGTCTCACCTAGCCCGGAGGAAGGATTGGTATTCCCTATGACCAGACCTCATTATGCAACCCATAAGAGGGACCTCTGACTGACATCACTTAAATGCCTATACCATCAGAGGGGGAGAATTTGAGATCAGACCAGGTTCCATTGATGTTTATAACCAACACGCACTAAGATTGCGCTTCTGGTGAGTTTGCAATCCCACTAATCTGTCGCACACTACCGGATGGTCACCATTTCTCACCTTATGGTATACTTCTCATTCCCAGATTATTCACGCACAGCCTGCTGGGATTTCATTTTGAATAGCACCTTCACGCCATAAGAGCTAATCAATGGGACTTATATGTGTTTTTTATTGATTTCTGATTGTATTTATCAGACACTTATCAGTTTTATCACATGCGCTGCACCTTTTCTTGTTTTATTTGATCTTATTGAGAGGACTTGTAGTTCCTTTTTTGGTGCTAGCAGCTGCTGTTTTTGTTAGCGCTCGCTGATTTTCTTTATATATATATATATATATATATATATATACAGTTGAGCTTATGTATTTTAGTCCTTACAGAATTGGTAAAATGTTGAGCATCTATTAATAAAATATGGGTGATCAAACCAAACACATATTTTTTTTTAATGTGAATTAAATTAAACTAGAAGACATCAAAGATTAGTGTAATAATTAAATAAGTCATAGCAATAAAGGGAAATTATCAAATAACAATGTCTAAAAGTCAACATACACTTAGTTCTTAATATTGTACATTGCCTCCCTTTGCATAAATTAGGGCTAGCAGTTGTTTGTTATAGTTGTGAATGATGCCCTTTATTTTCTCATATGATAAAGCTGCTCATTGTTCTTGGCGAAAAGCCTCCAGATCCTGTATATGATTCAGCTGCCTAGCATTGACTGCATGTTTAAGATATCCCTAAAGTGGCTCAATGCAGTTGATGTTAGGAGATTGTGATGGCCACTCCAGAACCTTCACTTTATTTTTAATGCAGTCACATAAGGGTTTTCTTGACCATATAATTTAGATCCCTGATGCCCAACCTGTGACCCGAAGGCCAAATATGGCCCTTTGGTATGTGATGTACTGCCCTCAATAGCAATGATGTCTACTAGCCTCATGTAACATGTCTCCAGTTTTGTGTTGTCTTCTGCAGCAGATCTCTAGTAAAAAATGTAGCATGTCCACAGTCTCTGGCCATCATTTCCTCTATTAGGTCTGCGACTCCTGACAGTCCTCCTAATTGTTCCACATATTGAATGTTATGTGTGGCCTTTTGGTGATATCAGGGGATGCAGTTGAAGCCCCTATAGCTCATGGGTTGACATCCACTGCTTTAGATCATAGCCATGTTAGAATGTCCAAATGCACCCCATTCACAGTTTTCGGGCTGATGAATGTAAAATATTCTCCATTATTTTCTGTTACATTTATATCAGTTTTTTTTCCAGTCTCTGGCCATCATTTCCTCTATTAGGTCTGCAGTCTCTGACAGTCCTCCTAATCATTACATATATTGAATGTTATGTGCAGCCATTTGGTAATATCAGGGGCTGGAGTTGAGGCCCCTATAGCTCATAGGTTGACATCCACTGCTTTAGATCATAGCCATGTTAGAATGTCCAAATGCACCCCATTCACAGTTTTCGGACTGATGAATGTAACATTTTCTCCATTATTTTCTGTTACATTTATATCAGTTTTAAAGAGTAACTCCACTTTTGTTGAGAAAAGAAACCTCTCTAGATGGTCAGGTTTTATTGCATTACTTTGCTGTAGACTCCTACCTGCTTCTGCTCTGAAGAACTATGTCCTTGGAGGGCTGTTTCCTGAATTTGAATGTCTGCATTCATTTTGATCAGGTGATGCAATCGCAGTGCCTTTAGAAGTAATTAGCCCTTTGAGATTGTCTCACCAAAAATGACATTTTTGTTGCAGAGCATGCCTAAAATCTGACTTCTGCCTTAGTGCAGCATTCTGGGAAAATCACTAAGCCAGTCCCGAACAGGAACTGACATTTCTCGGTAAGTTCTGTACACCAACTATGCACAGAAGGCCTCCAAGTTGCCACATTGAATTGTACAGTAAATGACAGTAGTTGCAAATTAAAAAGGAAAGGTAATTCTGAATAACATACTATATGGGTAAATTATTTTTCCATCATTTGCTTTTTCCTTCATGAGCTGGAACAAGTGGAGTTACCCTTTAACTAAATTCCCTGTGCCACTGAAGTTCACCCCCCCCCACACACACACACAAAATAGCAGAGTTTACTCTCCATGCTTAACAGAAGGTATTGGGGTTATTTTACTACAAGCAAAAAGACTGTTCACTTTATAAGGGAAATTGCACTTTGCAAGCAAATTTGCCCCAGAGCTTAGTGAACGAGGCAAAGCTCTACTGACTTCTATCATCCAATCATGTACACGCAAAAATGCTGGTTTTATTTTCCTTATACATTCGGAACCTTCACCTCATTCACTAAGCTCTAGGGTAAATTCCCTTGCAAACGGCAACTTCCATGCAAAGTGAACAGCCTATATGCTGTTAGTAAATCAGCCCCATTATGTGCTTCTCTTCATAGGACTTGTAGACTCATCCCTAAACATAGCATCTCTGGTTGTGACCATGAAGATTAGTTTTGGTCTCATCACTCTAAATTATTTTTTTCCAAAAATTTTGAGTGCAGTTTGATGTCTTGTAAGTGAACTGGTTTGTGGTGTTTGGTGTACATGAAATGGCTAACATTTGACATATTCTACTAGGGTGTTTTACAATTTTTAAGCAAAACTACTTTTAAAAATATGGATATCCAATCAATAAATCAGAGTCAGCTCTCAGGAGGAATGAAACTGGGTGAGGCAAAATCATGCTCTACTAACAAGTTGAGGTTATTTAAGACAGTTTAAAGTGTTACTAAACCCACAACAGTAAAATCAGTCTGTATATGCTGTAAAGCATGCTTGTTATACTCACTGTAGAACCTAAGGGGTTAATCCTCTGCATTGTGTAAAAAGGCTGTTTGATCCTGTATTATTTGATCCTCCCCTTCTTCCATAGTCCCCGCCCATCTGCTGATAGTACAGAGCCCTAGGAGGCGCTCTGTACATGCTTAGTTTGGTGTGTATTGCTAGAGAAGGTTTTTTTTGGGGGGGGAGTGCATGTGATTGGCACAGGGCCAATCAGCACTGTCCAGACAGAGGGTCAGGGATCATGCAGCCTCATAGGACAATCAGTGGTAAATGAAAACATCTCCTACAAGCTTTTGCCAGTGCTCAGCTGGACAGTGATAGAAGTCACAAGACTGCTATAGACCGATGATGAGAAAAAGGTATAAAAAGCAATTTAGTATTTTATGTTTACTAAAACAATTACATTTCCATGTTCTGTGTACTGTGGGAGACCATATAGAGTGAATGCAGGGTCCTGGGTTTAGTAACACTTTAAATGTAATAAAATCCTGGCAAGAATGAGCACAGCAACAATATCAACAAGGTTTCTCTTAGGCATTTCCAGTTGTGCAGTCCAAACTCTTCTGCGGAAGCACAAAGAAGCAGGAAATTTTAAAAAGGTATTGAAACCAAAAGCAAACATTTATTATATTGCAGATTTCCAGTTCTTACGTGTGATGGCTTTATTGGTTTTCTTTTTTAGACTTTCTTTTCCTTTAGTTTCACCTGGTGATCTGGCCAGTCTGTCCTTAGTCTGTTACAGTAAATCTGTTATTTTTCAACAGAACAAGCTGTACTGCATAAATATCAGTAACAGTGATGAGACAAAACATTTACCACTGACAGGTGTGCTGATCAGCTTTTATTTATTTATGTAAAACCGGTATCCCAACGGTTTCTGTAACTGCTTGTGCAACTGCAGTGTGAGATGGAAATTGGCACAATTTGTCAGTGTATTTAAATCTGCTAGTCCATCTAACACTCCTCTCCCCCAGACTGGAAATACTGCAGTCTAAAGGTACTATACTCCTTCATCCAGAGCGGAGGCACTCTAATACAGGAGGTGTGTTACTGGCTAGATCATCAGGTAAAAAACAGAGGGGAAAAAGCCTAAAAATTATAACTAATTAGTTAACTGCATTATATTACATTTTTGGCCAATTTTATAGGCCAAAAACACAATGGTCAGCCAAGGAAAGCAGAACAGATTAAATACACACCATGCTGACTTCTCTTCAGAATTAAAAGATGTCCAGTGGCACCATCAGCTCAGACTTGGCAGAAACCAGTGGGACTCTGATACACCCATGTAAAAGGAAAAAGAGTCAAAAAGAGTCTTCATAGAAAGCTTGCTGCTTAAAAAGCCATGTTTCCGATATGCAAACAAGGACAAATGACTCGCCTATGCGCAAAAACACGATAACTGGTGTATATAAGAATGGCAGTAGGCTCTCTGGACTAATATATAGCAATCAATAAGTGCAGCGCTCTATGAGTACAAACTAAATCTCTACATACACAAATTATGACATAATGGTGGAACAAACTGTGAATCCTAATGAAAGTAAATGTTAAAACAGTGCAACAACACAATATAGTGCTTAGAGTGGAAATGACTGATAATAAGCCCCCTACTGCAGGGGATATACCCTATAACACAAGTGCTCAGTGTCAACACACTCTATTCATAACCATAAATAACTGCTGAAATCATATATATGAAATAAGTGAATAAATCAACACATCACTCAAAATCATATCTTAAATAACAAAACGTGCCACCAGTGTCCACAACATTGAATGCAAACATGCAGGTGAATCTTGTGCGTTTGTAGGCTCTGGTGATGACTCCACACCAGGGGTGAACTGACAACTCATGGGGCCCCCGGGCAATAGGGGATCATGGGTCCGCTGTGTCCTTGCCCAAACTCAAAAAAGCCTATGATAAAGGTATCAGGAGCATCTCATGGGGCCCCCTACTGACCCCGGGTCCTTGGGCAGTGCCTGAGTTTCCAAATGGTCAGTCCGCCCCTGCTCCACACACAGCTAGATTGGCCCCTCACCTCCTTGCTGCGACCCTAAAAGGGCCCAAATGCCTTATGGATCACTCCTGGATCCTCCTGGGTTAAAGCGTATCCTCAAGGAATATCCTAAATGGCTCTTATCCAGACATATCAGCTCCCACATGGTCCACAAAGAAAAAAGCCTCCATAGTGCATTACCATTTATTAATACAGTAATTAAAATCACATAACACATTTCTCCCCAGCAAGAGTGCCAGATATGGGGTCAAGACGTAGAAGACCTGTCAGAGGACAACAGGCTATACTTATAAGTTTTGGATTTACGAGGGAAAAGATAGTCACATGGAGCCCCCTGGATGCCCAGACTACATGGGGAGTAGTGACAAGATAGTTTGGGATAATAATAAATCCTCCTGAGGTTAAATGGATGATCCCTCAACTCAAGCTGCTCACACCCAACCTGAACCTAATAAGTGTATATAAAATGAAAAGATATTATGGTGAAGCGCTAAACAGTTAACACATAATAATAAAGTGAATATAAACAACATACACATATATGATTAATAACAAAACTAAAGTGATCTGATCCAATTAGGATCCAATAGTGAAATAATTAAGTGAAAAGTGAGAAAAAAACAGGAATACTCCTGAATAAATCCTTAATAAGTGAAAACACAAATACATATTACTTCAAACCCTCATATCCCCAAATGAGGGACTTTCTCCAAAAAATACAAAAAATGGAGTGTAAACTTAAGTGAATCCCCAACCAGGGGGATAATCAACCTAATAAAGTGATATGTGCTAAAGACAAATAAATACACATATCCACACTATAAACAACCACATAAATGAAAGTGACAAAATATCACAAATAAAACTCAGTAAGTCCACATTGAATGTCCAATGTGAAAATAAACATATAGACCTGATCCTCAAAGGAATATCATGCAGGTCATATGGTGAATAGGTGATCACAGCAATGGTGAAAAAAATCCTGAAATGGCTAAAATGCCCCCTCACCTCCTCAATGTGACCACAAGGGCCAGCTCACTTTTAGGATCACACCACGATCCTTACAGGTAATAACTCGTCACAGGAAAAAATAACCGCAAGAGATCCCATCAATCTTGGCACTTACTCCTCTCAGGTCCCCTCCAGGCACAGGTATCGCAATATAGCTCACTCTCCATAAAGGATCATATTAATAAAAAAAGAAAGATCCTCCATAGTGTAGTAAGGTTTAATAATGAACAAACAATAAAAAATGCCAATTGCCCACTCACATATACTCCACAGAACATCAGCTTCTAAACCTCATGCTATGGGTGTACTGCATGGGTTTTGTTAGATGTACCAAAATGGCGTTCACGCCGTAACTACATCACCGCGTACCAAAAACATGTAGCAGAATACATTTTGGCCTAAATTTATAACTAACTTTGAGTTTACTATATATTTTTTATAGCCAAAAGTAGAAAATATCGTTTTTCTTCAAAACTTTCGGACTTTTTTTGTTTATAGTGTGAAAAATAAAAAGCACACAGGTGATCAAATACCACTAAAAGAAAGATCTATTTGTGTGAAAAAAGGACATACATTTCGTTTGCGTACAGCATTGCATGACCGCGCAATTATCAGTTGAATTAGTGCAGTGCCGAGTAGCAAAAAGAGGCCTGGTCATTAAGGGGGGTAAATCTTCTAGAGGGCAAGTGGTTAATATATATATATATATATATATATATATATATATATATATATAATGTACATTTTTGTAGTTTGTTTTTTGTTTAGCACAACACTTTTTTTTCTATATCTCTTTAGGTATTTAGGTGATTTGAGTATAGACATTTGCAAATTTTTGGTTAAGGTGATTTATGAGGGGCTGAATTTTGTGAAGCCGGTCAAATCAGGGTCAGGGTCATTCAGTTTTTGACATGTAATTGGGCGAATAAAATGGTCCCTTGAGGATGACAGAGTGTATTGTCGTTGAAATGCATAAAACACATTATACTTTCATATCTACAGTTGCAAGAAAAAGTATGTGAACCCCTTGGGATTACGTGAAGTTTTGCATGAATTGGGCATATAAAATGTGCTCTGAACGTCATCTAAGTCACAACAATAGAAGAACACAGTCTGCTGAACATAATACTACACAAACATTAGATGTTGCCATGGTTTAATTGCACATAACATGTAAACATTCACAGTGCAGGGAGTAGTTAAATTTGCTATTTACACCTGAATTCCGGGTTGGGCAGTGAATGGGGGAAGTGCGGGTGCTGCAGAATTTGTGGGCTTCTAATCAGGATTTGCAAGCACATCCGGAAGGATACTTGGGGCTCTATGGGCCTGTGTGCGAATTCTTGGTGGTTGAGGGACAATACTTGTGCTCGCCACCGTAGCAGCTTGTACTGCACTTATGGGACTTGCCACGTCACCAAGTACTGCAGTGCTGGTATTATTATTATTATACAGGACTTATACAGCACCAATAGTTTACTCTGCGCTTTACAATATAACGGGAGACAATACAGCAACAATACAGTTCAATACAAGAGGGTTAGGAGGGCCCTGCCCCTTGGAGCTTACAATCTAAGAGGTATGTAAAAGACCAGGATGTACTAGGCCTTGGGAAGGAGACATGACAGTTCATAAATCATTACCCTTTTTACTATTTCCTCATCAATCTCTTTTCCCCCTACAGTCCATAACCAATATCCGTGGGTGGAAAACAGTCAGTTGCCACTCCTCTTTCTGTTTCACCCCACAACAGCAATTTGCCCTTGCTCATCTCTCCCCTGTCAATGACTGGATTCTTTTGTAACTATTTCCTCCAAGCCAAAATTATTCCCATATGCTTCCCAGCCAAGCATGGCCACTTACAGTATATACCATCCCCATGATTAAATCCCACTCCAAACTCTCCTCCCTAATAATTATGTCCCTTTGCATCCTGTTTCACTTCTCCAGTACCTAATCAACTCATGCTCTGCTACCTTTTCTTTCCTCTTCAGGCCAGCACTTATTTGGTCTCCATTGCCTCTTCCAATGTTCCATGGTCAGCTGCCACCTCTCTGCATGCCCTGCCAGGATCAGTTACCATATTGCCTTCTTTATGTTGCTGTTCCAGTTCCTGTATACCTTCTCCCCTCTACCCCAAGGGTATGATCAGGTACCTTTCTTCTTCCCCTTTTTTAATCATGGTCCCTCATGTGCTCCTGCTCTGCCTCTTCTCCCAGTGGTCTAAAATGTGCTGCCTTTCTGCCTCTTATACTGCCCATCTCCATGAATATTTTATACTTAATCTGCCCTTATGATCCATTTTGTTGTCATGGCATGCTTGACCATAGAACACGTGTCCAGAAAATATTGGATAAAGTCAGGGAGGATTATAACCTTTATCAGTTTTTTTTTACCATCTGTATACCATAGGAAATATTTTCCTTTCACTTCCTGTCCCATAGTCAAAATAGGAAATGAGCAGAAATCCCCCCTAATGAGGGAATCCAAATGTGTCACCAAGGTCACCAGATTTAGTGTCCCCACTGGAAGATTTCCCTAGTATTACTGTTCTGGTGTCAACCCAAAATGTAGGATTTCCTTTTACTTTACCTTTTCAACTGGGGTGCAGAAAAGAGCCCACAAGGGTGCCGCAGCAACATCCCCGTCTGAGTGCTACATACAAACCCCCGTTCCTAAATCCCCACTCCTAGCACAGACCCTGCTCCAACTTCCACCCCCTCCCCCAATCACTTCTTCCAGCACAATCTCCTCAAATCCCCCCTCTTAGCACAACCCCCCAAATCCCTGTCTCCTAGCACATATGTGGACTATGCTCTCTCTCTCCCCCCCCCCCCGTACTGCCTGTACAGGAGCAGTGTGGGGAGGAGATAGGGGCAGTAATCAAATCCGGCACATTGGGATGGAAGGGCTACTCTGTGTTAACTCCTGTGCACTGGGACTCTGCAAGAAGAGAGAGAGCACAGCTCTTTCCTCCTCCCTGCAGCTATGTGTACTATAGCTAGCAGAACAGAAAGCTGTCGTGCCACCTGACATGTCATTAACAACCGATGACATCATTGTTTTGTAGGACGAGGGCGGTCGGCCCCCACAGCTTTCTGCTTTGGTGGCAATAGCACACATAGCTGCAGGGAGGAGGGGACAACTGTGCAAGCTGTTCTTTCTTTTTGAAGAATTTGCAGAGTCCCAGTGCACGAGAGTTAACACAGAGTAGCCCTTTCATCCCAATGTGAAGGCTTTGATTACTGCCCCTATCTCCTCCCCATACTGCTCCTGTACAGGCAGCAGAAATTGTGGATGGGGGCAGGTAATGGACCTAAAAACAGTCCATATTAACTCCAGGAGGGAGAGAAGTTGGGGGGGGAGAGAGCACAGTCTACATATGTGAGGGGGGATTACGGGGGTTGTGCTAAAAGGGAGGATTTGAGGGGATTGTGCTGGGAGAAGTGATTGGGGGAGGGGGTGGAAGTTCGAGCAGGGTCTGTGCTAGGAGGGGGATTTGAGGGCATTGTGATAGGAGCGGGGGGGGGGGGGGGGTGTGTGATAGGAGTAGTTATTTGAGAGCGGGGGGAGGGGGTTGCTGGGAGGGGGGGATTAGGGGGGATTTGTGCTAGGAGGGGGAGTTGGGGGGTGCTAGGATGGGGGATTTGTGCTAGAAGAAGGAACTTGGAGGGGGGAGAGGGAGAAGAGTTACAACCTAATATCCCTGAATATTAAAAGATGTGATGTGTGCGAACACGCAACAAAAGGGTTGACAAACACTGATCTAGTCATTCTCCACTTTATCGAAAAATTTTAGTTATACGTTACATTTTAAGAGACCAGAAACCATTCAGCCTTAATGAATCAGAATTCATGAACAGGCACTCATTTCCTAGTTTTCACCTATT